GCCTGTCATCACTCTCAACCTGGCTGTCCACGTCGTCATGTACTGGTACTACTTCCAGAGCGCGCGAGGCATCCGCATCTGGTGGAAGAAGTACATCACCATTGGCCAGATCACCCAATTCGTTCTCGATATCGGTATGTTTCCCACCTGCTCCCGCATGGGTAATAAGACAGCAACTGACCGCCTCCAGGCTTCATCTACTTTGCCTCGTGGACCTACTTCACAAGCACCTACTGGCCGCACCTGCCCAACATGGGCAAGTGTGCTGGCGAGGAGTTTGCTGCTATCTCGGGCATTTGCATCATCACGTCGTACCTGTTCCTCTTCCTCGCCTTCTACTTCGCCACGTACAAGAAGCCAGTGCCCAAGGGCCGTCGCAGGGCTACAAGCGCGTTGATTGAGATGAAGGATGAGAAGTTGCCGACTGTTGGTGAAGCTCGCAGGCGACTCTCGACCTCGCGTGTTGTCTCCACTAACGGTGTTGCTACAGGAGCTTCACCCAATGGCACACCCAACGGACGTGCGACCCGCAGCCGCAAGGCATAGGCTCGACAGTCCAGAGGATCTGCGGAGCGCCGTGCGGCAGATGGAGCTTTTTGAAGCATTGGACGATGCACAACGCCCCCTTGCCGTCGAAGCAGTCAAAGTACTCTGCAGTCACACTTGACGCAGCGTGTTATGATCTTCAGCTGTTGCAAGATTTTAGGTGCCAACTACCAGACCCTGAAATAACTCGTCAACAGGAGCCACCTTTTGGCCAGGCTTCTTAGCAATTCGTTCTTGGCACGACATCACCCTGGAGGGTTACAATTTTCTATCTTCTTGTAATTGCTATGTGTGGGGATAAACACTTTGGTGTAGCCCCGTGTTACGATAAAAGCATGTAAGAGCATGGTTGGTCGGATCGCGTTACGACAACTCCGGTGTTGGTCTTTGGCTTTGGTATGGGCGGTATAGCACGTTGTAGCAAATACTTGAACGAAAGATAATGCATAATCGTCAATGATTCGTCTCCTGTGTTCCAGGTGTGTAGTGTGCGGGCATCGGAAGAAGACAGGGCTGATGTGGGGAAGCCTAGGCAGATTACACGTGCAATAGCGAGAGGAGACAGTGTGCCGGAAGCTCAGTGATCGGCTGCAGCCCCATGTAGCGGCTTCTGTCGTTAGCCTTGACCTGGAACCATCGTGATGGCCCCAACTCGTCGCAATGCGTCGGAGTCTTTTGTGAGAAGGCTCAGTGTGTCTCAATCCGTTTCGCACTCACTACGACGGAAGCTTGAGCTGCTTAGACAGTGCATGGGGTTGCTCGGAATTGAGTGCCAAGAAGCATGTGTGGCGTGGACTGGGTGGAGCATTGGTGACATGTGATAGGATTGACATGTGAGAATCACGGCTTTGTGGTGATCCCCAATTTGCTGCCGGGCGTCTCGCGCTGTCATCCCTCGAACCTTGCCTTCCGATCAACCATGCGATAAGCGACGATTCCACTCTTTGCGACCGTCATTCAGAGCTTCTCTTCCGTGTTACATGTCCCTGTCGACTCGCATCCCCTTGAACGACATCATCGCGTCCTCGAATTCGCACTTGGGCGTCCGATTACGCTTCCGCGGAGGAGAATACCCTTTCGAGACGCTCCTTCCGCACCGTCATTGGGCATTGCGACGGCTTTCACGGACATAGCGTAACTCGAAACGACTGCTACCACGAGTCGCAGCGATACAGTTGGGTGTGGTTTGCGCCTAGACAAACGTGGGGTAGGGCTGGTCGGATTATAAACGTCACGCTCCTGCGAATCTCCTACAATGGAGCAGGAACGACCACTCCAGCGTGCCCCGCCGCCTGCATACACACAACACGAGCCCGAATCGCTGCATCTCCCTTCGGTACCGACGCATATTCCAAGCCATGTCTCTGATCACGCAAGGCTACCGGGCATCAAGTCCCTGGACCTGCCCGACACCAAAGCGCGTCATACTCCACACAACTCGATAGAATTCAGCCCGCGATCGCAGTACGATGCGTCGCAATGGGGCAGGTTGCCAATGCCAAACCATGCGACTTTCCCACGAGCGCCAGAGAGCCTACCGCGTGAGGACATGGGAAGCCCTATGGATACAGCGAGTGTGCGCAGCGAGAACACGAACAGGCGGGAGACAAGTGTCAGTATGGATGATCCCGATGTAAGGCTGGCAGCCGAGGCGCTCAGTGGACTCGGGAATCCAGGTATGTAGTCATGCCGTTGTGGTTACTGTCTATGATGCTGGATACATATTGACTGACTATCGCAGACTTTGTTCGCTCGCCGACAGCACGATCCCTTACGCTCTCTGCCCGCGAATCTACAACTGAGCCTCCTGAACCGCTCCTCTCCCTGATCACGTCGAACCACCCATGGCTTGGGAGCGGTATCAACGGCTCTATCTCAGCCTATAATACGACTAAAGGATACACTCCGCGACTCGTCCAATACGGCGCTGAGCTCATCGAGCGCAACATTGGATCGCCAATGGTCAATACGGTGTCGTCTGTGGGTAGAAGGACGGGCATGGAGAAGAGTTTGCGACGATACCTGGGAGACAGACGACCCAGCGACCTCGAGCAAGGTGATGGCGAGAGTTCCAGAAGTAAAAGGCAAAGGATTGCTAGTCCGGCAGACGATGCCATGGATGTCGACGACGCGCTTGCGGCAGCGTCACGAACTAGAGGCGGTTCACAATCATCATGCACCGAGTCGCTTCCTGCGTACGATGATCAGCGCTCTCCAAACTATGAAGAGGCAGTCTTCTCTGGACAGAACACGTCGCAAAAATCGCCAGAACAACGCTCAAACACCCCGCAAGATCGGCGCGTGAACTGGTCCACGCAGCTTATCATGACCACCTCCGGTCTTGGTGTCGCGCTATCGGAGACATCCCTACGCTCCTTGAAGCTTTGCCTTGGCCTCCTTCGCGGTGCGACGACTCACATCGACTCCGTCATGCGCGCGCTCAAGCTTGTGCTCGAAGAGTACGAAACCGCCCTCAACAATCAAAGGCAGTCGGGTAGCCAAGATGAGAAGACGCAACTCAATGGCAACATGGCCCAAATGGGCCTTGCCGACACCGCAGACAAAGACGACCAAGTCCGCAAGATTGCCGACCGTATCAAGGCCCTATCGTCTGATATCTGGCAAACGCTGCAATCCGTCGTTCAATCGGTTTCCCGCTATACGGGCGGTGCTCTCCCGCAAAACGCCCAGACAGTCGTTCGCACTCAATTACTCTCTGTACCTCAGAGATGGCAGCTCGCGGGTCGCAATGCGAACAATGAGCACGCGGGGGGCGACGAGGTTAGAGGCGCAAACCGCATGTTGGCGTTTGCTAAGGAAGGATTGGATATGATGGGTCAGATTACCACTGTTGTTGATGGTACGGTACAGAGTGCAGAGAGTTGGCTTGCCCGTATTGGACGGAGGCCGCAGGGTGAGTCGAGCAGTGCTGGTGGTCAGAGTCAAGAGCGGAGGGAGAAGACGCCAGCTGCACTTGAAGCCGGTATGCAGGTGGACGAGAAGAGGTAGGTGTGAGACATTCAGGCTTTTGGGTGAGTGTCTGGTATTAAGGATTGGGAGTAACTGGGTATGTTATGATGAGGATAGGAAGGAAAGACGAAGATGTATGAATTGGCGAAGACGGACGGATTGAAACAGGATGCACTTTTGGACCTACAACTACAACATACCCAAACAATAGTTTCCTTGTGTCAGTTTCGACTTTGGTATGTATGGCACGGCGTCGCAATGGAGGGATGTGTTGTCTTGGGGGTGGAGGTTGTCTTTCTATCGTTCGTTTCGCGACGGTCATGACATTTGGCAAAAAGCTGCAGTGCTGTTTTACTTTGTACTCTTCAATGTAACATTTCAGATCAATTGTTTGATTTTAAAACTCCACATTCTATATGCTGTCATCCTCTGAGCTGCCACTTGTGGCGAGTTCAGGAACGACTGGAAAAAAAGGATATCTGGGCCTTTGTCTACTAAAAGTAAGATGCATGGTGTGGTTATCTTTGAGCTGTTTGTGATGTGTCTATATCTGTTCGCATCTAAACTTGCGACTCGTTATTCGTGATGTTGGTTGCGAAAGGATTGTTTGTTACGCATAGTTTAAGAGAGTCTGATTCATGATGGCTGGTGTTCTATACATTTGCGCTATATTTCCGCACAATACCGGATCGTAACGCAACTTTTGACGAGGTCTGGGGTTGAGTTTATACCTCCCACGAGCATGCCTACGCATCCTGTAGTACAGAATTACAGATGGAATATAGTATTTTCCTGCCACCCAACCAGTCAGGTATGCACGCTGCAATTGTTTCCTGGTCGGGGAATTTTGACTCGAGTACGTGTTTACACGCCGGAACGAGGCAACGTATACGTAATAGCAAGAGACCGGTCAATATATCATTGGCTATCTGGGTGTGACTGGCTAGTGACAGCACCTCGTATTCGTAATCGCGAAGTACGACCGAGCGGACAAAATGTAATGGGCCGCCCATGTATGCTCGTGCACTATGATGAGGGGGTACAGGGTACCGAGAAACTCAACGAACTACTTTTTTGTGGGGTGACATTGGAGACATGCGGGATTTAAAGATGAGATCTGGAGATATGGATAAGAGTCAAATCCATAATGAATACCGAGTTGATCTGGAGTACAGTGAGTTTATAGGCGGATTGAGGGTTGGTGTCAGAGTCTGTTGATGATTGGAAGGTCTGAACAACGGGCACAGTAGACATGTAAGCGGTTCTTGAAATGATACTCAATGATCCTACAGTTATATTGACGCCATAATCTCGAACGCAGAGAAGCAACTCTATCCCAACCTCAGTTCGACATAATTGTTGGTTGCGTAACACAATCTTTGTATTGCTTTGGTCCCTTCTGGAGCGAACAAAGAAAATCGTTAAAGCAGTGTAATGCATAAAGCGGGATAGATGCCCAGTGCCTTCGCGATAGGCCTTGTAGGTCACTTCGCATTCTGCGAGTCTGTCGTATCTGAACTGGCCGTATTTGATGTAGAGTCTTCCGATGTGTTGGAATTTGCAGATGTACCGGACGTCGCTGGCGTCTGTGGCTGCCGGGCAGGTTGTTGCGTGTTTGCTTGACTTGATGAAGGTGCGCTCGACAATTGGAAAGGAGCGAATCGAATAGGCGGAAAAGACATATTGAAAGCAAAGTCAAGGAGTCCAGAAGTCTATCAACGATATGTGCAATGTCCCGGATAGAATGCAGGTAGAAAAGGAGTAAGTACACGGTTTTGATAAAGCTTCAACACAACCGCCATAAATACTACCTTATAAGTGAGTAACCGTACCCATCGTACCTCAAGATAGCTCATGGTCGCAAGGAAAACGAACAAAGCGAAAAGCGCACGAGATGCCTGTAAGATTGATTCACAATGGCTTTGCTGATGCTTTCTCGGTGAGCTTCCAGAGTGCACTCATGATAAGTCTGCCTTATCGATGGCTGAAACTCCTCGCAAGCAGAGCCAATAACAGTTAGATTTCCTGGATAAACGAGGCGCTTTCACATGACTTCGCGTTATGTAGTTCGCGATTGTAGTCAGTATGACGCATCAACGCTTAGCTTCTCGTGTTGATTACTCAGGCCCCAACCGTTACTGGTTGGAAACACCTTGGTAGGCTTTGAGCTGAAGTCTGCAGAGATGGATAAGGGTGTTGGCTCGTATTGTTTCGAGACATCTGAAGCCAATATCGATGCTGCGATGCTCGGAGCCTTTTGTGATAACTAATGTGTCTGTGTTGGTGCAGTTCTAGTAGTATAAGCTACACTTGTTCGTAGAGGCGGGATTTTTGACTTCTAAGTGGGTTCGGTATAATGGTGATGGTGGAAAAAACGTTTCTCCGTGTACTGAGGTAGCAACGGCAACTATGGCGATAAAAGAAAGATGATTAGTATGTCTGCGTTATGCTTGTCAAGCAATGTCGTTATTTGATTAGCGCTCGTGCACTGCACTAACGGAAATAATGCCATAGACACGATAGTGCTGACCTGCTCTGCGATGTGGAACTGCATATGCACAAGATGCGTGAATACTGTGATAAGACGTTGCGATGGTGTGTTGAGTCTCGAGAGTTTATTGGCATACCTTGGGAACCGGTGTCGGATCTGGAAAGCAACAAGCGGTCTAAAATTAGTCGGTGCGGCTGAAGCGAAATTGTTCAAGTGGGAAAAAAGCGCGGTGAAGACACGTTAATTTTGGACCAAGATAGGAATTGGCATAGGCAGCGACAATTGATACGAGTCGGTGTGAGCCGTTGTGTGCGATGCAACCATGACAGGGCCCTTGCTGCAGATCAGAAGGTTGAGATGCATCGAAGATTCATGATGGCGTCTAGAATGAGCGAGAATGAGTCGAAAAAGGGCGTAGTCGGGTTGCCGAAGTAGTTGCCGGTAGCCCGCGGCGGAACACCGACGCCAAGATAGGGCAACGTGCAGTCGAGACGTACCCCTAGGGCTGAGCGATCGATGCTGGGAGTCGAGTCGTCGAGTGTTCAGAAAGTGGGGAGTCCAAGGAGGACGAGGAATCGGGCACTGTTCTAGGTTACCGCTCGCATGGGAACATGGTGACCGCGACGACTCCTGTTCCCAACGGGATGGAGACCAACGTGGAAAGGGCGGACGCAGGTGGTGTCGGCCTGTTGGTGTGCAACGGCGGAGTGAAGGGGTCGGAGCCAAGGCGCTGAATGCAGAAGGCTTACAAACTCGCTGTGGAGACAAGTGGAGCAAAAAGCAGGCAAGCAATCACACCTAGCGGAGTCAAGCTACTCCACGAGATTGTTCTCGTTTGATCCTCCTCAACAACTGCGCGCGCGAGGCATCACTATGAGCCATGTTTGTAGTCTCTGCGCCCGAGGCTTCACCTACTGAGTTTGTTGCACCATGACGTCGGCGAGCTGGTATACAGATATTCCCACTAGCAACCATTCCCGGCGCTGAGCCGCATAGCGTTGGTACAGCGGTGCTTCCTCGCGTCTGCCCAGAGATCTCAGCGTCATGCATGGCGGAATCTAACCGAATTGCATGCAAAATGACTGTGCCGTCGATCAAGGTGTAGCGGAGTGGGTGGATTGCGCGTTATGATACACACGACTATCTCCGTGCGAACAAGTCCGTTGAAGAATGATGGGACATCAGACTTACTTGTTGTAGACCCGCGGCCTGATAGCTGCGACAATAAGAGATCTACCCTAGCCGCACCCGGCGCCATCTCTGCAGGATTGTGCTCTTGACTACTTTTGGAACTAGTTGCTCTTATCTCCGAGTCGTGTACTGTTTTCTTATTTTATTTAGCCGTTGCGACATCCCTCGGCGCCCTTCTGTTGTTCGTTTGGTTTTCTTGTTCGACATCTCCATACGTTCCTTATAATTCGCTTCTTTTCCGAGCCTGCAGAAGTGTGAGACACCGCCTCTGTCCGCACCGGTTCGCAACCGTTCAAGTGAAACGCAGGGTGCGCCCTGTACCGCAGTCGCAGCCATGGATAACGCCAACGCTCCCCAGCATACGCAGATCCAAGAGCACACCGAAGGCACCACCTTTGAGCCAATTCACCCCAATCGCAACCATACTCACCGTGATAACGCCAGCGTCAGGACTGCGTCCATCACCGACAGCACTGCGCGCAATTCGGCAAACAACGAAAAGGGTTTCAACAATGTTACGGGTGGGGTCGACATCCAACGTGCCGAGGCTGACTTTGCCGAACTATCAAAAGAGCTCTCCCGTGCTAGCAACATTTCGCGCCGATTGAGTCGCGTACAGAGCAAGCAGAGTCGCAAAGGCGACGTCGTCACAGACGTAGAAAAGGCCACTGTTGAGGGCTCCGAGTCCTCGGATGAGCCTTTCGATCTCGAAGCCACTCTGCGTGGTGGTAAAGATGAGGAAGAGGCAGCAGGCATCAAGTCTAAGCGCATTGGTGTTGTATGGGACGGTCTCACTGTCAGCGGTATCGGTATGGTTACCTTGCATCATCTGCATTGGAAACACGTGCTAATTGTCCCATAGGTGGTGTAAAGAACTACGTCAAGACCTTCCCAGACGCCTTCGTATCATTCTTCAATGTATTCGAAACCGCCGCTAGCATCCTCGGCCTCGGCAAGAAGGGCAAGGAGTTCGACATCCTAAAAGACTTCAAGGGTGTTGTTAAGCCTGGCGAGATGGTGCTAGTTCTGGGCAAGCCAGGAAGTGGATGTACTACATTCCTCAAGGTCATCAGCAACCAGCGATACGGATACACAAAGGTAGATGGAAACGTATTATACGGTCCATTCGATGCAGACTTCTTTGAGAAGAGGTATCGAGGAGAGGCCGTATACTGCGAGGAGGACGAGAACCACCACCCTACCCTCACCGTTGGACAAACACTCGATTTCGCGCTAGAGACCAAGGTACCAGGAAAGCGCCCGGCCGGACTCTCGAGACAAGACTTCAAGGAGAAGGTCATTGACCTCATGCTCAAGATGTTCAACATCGAGCACACCCGCAACACCATTGTCGGCAACCCCTTCGTCCGTGGTGTCAGTGGAGGAGAGAGGAAGCGTGTTTCGATTGCCGAGACCATGATCACTGGTGCTTCCCTGATGAGCTGGGACAACTCCACAAGAGGACTGGATGCCTCGACTGCTGTCGACTATGCGCGTTCGCTTAGGGTGCTGACAAACATCTACAAGACCACAACTTTCGTATCCCTCTACCAGGCTTCCGAGAACATCTACAAGTGCTTCGACAAGGTCATGGTCATCGACAGTGGCCGACAAGTATACTTTGGACCTGCCCAAGAAGCTCGCGCGTATTTCGAGGGTCTTGGCTTCTTGGAGAAGCCCCGCCAGACAACCCCCGACTACCTCACTGGTTGCACAGATCCTTTTGAGCGCGAGTTCAAGCCCGGCATGAGCGAGAAGGATGTTCCTTCTACCCCTGAAGCGCTTGCTGAAGCTTTCAAGCAATCCGAGACCGCGGCTAGGCTCGATGCCGAAATGGTAGCCTACAAGGCACAGATGGACCAGGAGAAGCACGTCTATGATGACTTCCAGCTTGCCGTCAAGGAATCAAAACGTCACGCGCCCCAGAAGTCCGTTTACTCGATTCCGTTCTATCTCCAGGTCTGGGCTTTGGCCAAGCGCCAGTTCTTGCTCAAATGGCAGGACAAGTTCGCCCTTGTTGTCTCTTGGATTACTTCCATCTCTATTGCTATCATCACCGGTACCGTCTGGCTCGACCTTCCTGATACCTCCGCAGGTGCTTTCACCCGTGGCGGTGTGCTCTTCATTGCTCTCCTCTTCAATGCTTTCCAGGCTTTCTCCGAACTGGCATCCACTATGTTAGGCAGACCCATTATTAACAAACATCGCGCCTTTACATTCCACCGACCGTCAGCCCTTTGGATAGCACAGATTGGTGTTGATCTACTGTTTGCATCCGTGCAGATTCTAGTCTTCTCCATCATTGTGTACTTTATGACGAACTTGGTGCGAGATGCTGGAGCTTTCTTCACATTCGCATTGGTCATCATCACCGGTTATCTGGCTATGACACTGTTCTTCCGAACGGTTGGATGTCTTTGTCCAGATTTCGATGTTGCAATCCGTCTAGCTGCTACGATTATAACACTGTTCGTACTCACCTCCGGTTATCTTATCCAGTGGCAGTCCGAGCAAGTCTGGCTTCGGTGGATCTTCTACATCAACGCTTTGGGATTGGGATTCTCTGCTCTCATGATGAACGAGTTCAGCCGTCTGGATTTGACTTGTGCCGGTAGTTCTCTGGTTCCTTCTGGACCCGGCTACGACAACCTTGACGCCCAGGTTTGCACTCTGCCTGGTAGTGAAGCTGGTAACCCCATCGTATCTGGTACCAACTATATTAAGACATCCTTCTCATGGGATCCTTCAGACCTCTGGATGCACTATGGTATCATGGTCGCCCTCATCGTCGGATTCCTTCTCGCCAACGCCTTCCTCGGAGAGTTCGTCAAGTGGGGTGCTGGTGGACGTACCGTCACCTTCTTCGTTAAGGAGAACAAGGAACTCAAGGAATTGAATGCCAAGTTGCAAGAGAAGCGCGACAAGCGTAACCGCAAGGAAGACAGCAGCGACCAGGGCTCGGACCTCAACATTGCTTCTAAGGCTGTTCTCACTTGGGAGGATCTTTGCTACGACGTTCCTGTCCCTAGCGGAGAGCTCCGCCTGCTCAACAACATCTACGGGTATGTCAAGCCCGGCCAACTGACAGCCCTCATGGGTGCTTCTGGTGCTGGAAAGACCACGCTTCTCGATGTGCTAGCCAACCGCAAGAATATTGGTGTCATCAGCGGTGACAAGCTTGTTGATGGAAAGGTTCCCGGTATTGCCTTCCAGCGAGGAACTGCCTACGCTGAACAGCTTGACGTTCACGAGCCTGCTACAACGGTCCGCGAGGCACTCCGCTTCTCTGCCGACTTGCGACAACCGTACGAGACTCCTCAGGCTGAGAAGTACGCCTACGTCGAGGAAGTCATCGCCTTGTTGGAAATGGAAGATATCGCAGACGCTATCATTGGTGATCCCGAAAGTGGACTTGCTGTCGAACAACGCAAACGTGTCACCATCGGTGTCGAGCTCGCGGCCAAGCCTGAGCTCCTGCTTTTCTTGGACGAGCCTACCTCCGGTCTCGACTCGCAGAGCGCTTTCAACATTGTTCGTTTCCTTCGCAAACTTGCCGCCGCCGGTCAAGCCATTTTGTGCACAATCCATCAGCCTAACTCTGCTCTCTTTGAGAACTTCGACCGTCTGTTACTCCTCCAAAGGGGTGGTCAATGTGTCTACTTCGGTGACATTGGCAAGGACGCCCACGTTCTCCTAGGGTACTTCCATCGTCACGGTGCTGACTGCCCACCTGATGCCAACCCCGCTGAGTGGATGCTCGATGCTGTTGGTGCTGGTTCTGCTCCTCGTATCGGCGACAAGGACTGGGCTGATGTCTGGCGGGATTCTGAAGAATTTGCCGAGGTCAAGCGCCACATTGTTGAGGTCAAGGAAGAGCGCATGGCTGCCGTTGGTTCTGCCGAACCAGTTGACCAACAGGAGTACGCTACATCACTGTCTTACCAGATCAAGCAGGTTATCAAACGCCAGAATCTCTCTTTCTGGCGTACTCCCAACTATGGTTTCACTCGTCTCTTCAACCACGTCATCATCGCTCTGCTCACAGGTCTCATGTACCTCCAGCTTGACGACTCTCGAGCATCTCTGCAATACCGCGTCTTCATCATCTTCCAGGTCACCGTTCTGCCTGCCCTGATTCTCGCTCAGGTCGAACCCAAGTACGCCGTCCAGCGTATGATCTCTTTCCGCGAGCAAATGTCCAAGGCGTACAAGACGTTCCCCTTCGCCTTGTCTATGGTTGTTGCCGAGATGCCGTACAGCGTCCTCTGCGCTGTCTGCTTCTTCCTTCCGCTTTACTACATTCCCGGATTGAACTCTGACAGCTCCCGCGCCGGATACCAATTCTTCATTGTGCTCATCACAGAGGTCTTCTCCGTCACTTTGGCTCAGGCGATTGCTGCACTGACACCATCTCCATTCATCGCTTCCTACGTCAACCCTTTTATCATCATCATCTTCGCCCTCTTCTGTGGTGTCACGATCCCTAAGCCCCAGATTCCCAAGTTTTGGCGCGTGTGGCTCTACGAGCTTAACCCGTTCACCCGCCTCATTGGTGGCATGGTTGTCACGGAACTCCACGACCTCTCTGTTCAATGTACACCCGGCGAGTACAACCAGTTCAACGCCCCACAGGGCCAGGACTGCGGATCGTACATGAGTGACTTCTTCTCCAACGGCGCGCCTGGTTATATCCTCGACAATGCCACCTCCGCCTGCAACTACTGCGCCTACAAGGTCGGCGACGAGTTCTACCAGCCGCTCGGGTACGAGTTCAGCAACAGGTGGAGGGATCTAGGTATCTTTGCTGCATTCATTGCTAGCAACTTGGTTATCCTTTTCGTTGCTGCAAAGTACCTCAACTTCAACCGCAGATAAGCGCCCTGCTTGGAGCTCGACATGTATATTATGCTACGGTCTTACGACAACCTTTTTACTTGTGGGTACTTTATGACCCGCACTCTGCTTGAGAGATGCATTATACAATCCCGCCGCGGCCTTGGCTGCATCGGCATTGTTTGCGCTTCTCATGGTACTACGTGTTCCTTGCGATACCACATCATCTTGTTTAAAAGCATTCTCCATCATGCATCATAGATCTACATTTTGGATATCCCATTGGGTGGCGTTTGCTTTCCTGCCAGCACTCCACCTGCGCGACATCTTCACATAGTACATACATAATCCTAGTCTTTTATTACAACGTCACCGCATATTCGTGTTTCAGAAATTCATGACTTGTGAACTGATGCTGTTGTTATGCCACTCTATGGATCAATTTTCTTTGTTGAATCGTTGATGTACGAGATTTCTGCTTCACGATTGCTCATTCTAGAAACTCCCTTTGAGACATTGTTCTGCATTGTTTCCATGGCTGCTGCCCGTCTTGTAAACTCTCTCGTGATCTTAGCTACCCGCTCTTTGCATCGTTACAATTAGCCGCACAATTTCATCTACATTCTTTCTCAGTAGTGCACCTATCTGCAACCTACATTCTATCATATCATGGCACCGGCGGCGCAAGATCGCAGAAAATTACATACTGTCACTACCACAATACGCAAGCAACATGGGAGTGAGGCTGCAACTGCGGATGATACCTTGGATACTACCAATGGCGCAGCGAAGGAGTCATCGCCGTCCAAGACAACAGACTCGTACCGCAGTAGTTCAGCCTTCAACTGGCCATCTGCCACACCTGACGTGCACGTTACCCGCCACTTTCTTATCCCTCAAAGACAAGGTATTATACCTGGTATACGCTACGCACTACATGTTGACAACGCTTCACCCTCAAGTCCCCATTCACTTCGACCTTCCCATGACGTAACGTCAACAGTACCGATGATGCTACTGACATCTGCACCTCCACCCCCCCGCCACTCGAAATACCCCCGCATCTCGCCTCCGGGATTTCTCTATCCAGAAGAGATCGTACCGCATACAGCTATATCAGCACAAACCTCGAATCCACTGCAATATCAAGATTCTGTTCGGCACAACAAGAGCCCGTATCATTCGGACATTATGAGCCAAATGGACTACAAACTGTCGTACCTACCCACAGACTACAAGTTACTCTTCGTTGGTACGCTGGCTATCATGGTACTAGGAGTCGTGTGGGCAGTTATGGTTTGGGTGGTTAATGCGTGGATGGACATGAAGAGTGTAACAAACAAAGGAAAAACAACCAGGAAGAGGAGAGCAAAGAGCATGGGTGAAGAGAAGAGACCGATTGACAAAGTGAGCAAGTACCCGCATCCACATGGCGGTAGCGACGAGACATGGGTTGACACGACAACGAATATGGACATGGACAGTGCTAGCGCTGTCACGTCGGCAGCCCAGGTCCCATTCTCGTATCTGGGAAAGAACGGGCATATTGGTGGGAACACTGAGATGAAGTACAGACCCCGAAACAGGACATCTCAGTTCAACCGTCCGCGGAGCCGGCCAATTCACACCGAAGCTCGAGATCGCACACACACTTTTCACCGCCGCATACTCTCCCCGCCATCAGCAAACCCACGATCCAACCATCCGCCTACTCCAACAGTCCGCGCTCGGCACTCTCCGACTCCGTCCGTGGCCTCATCGCCAGTGAATCCTTTCCTAGATCCATCTCCCAACGGCCCTCTTCAACCAGGTACAGGCGGCGTACTAGTAAAGCGTACTTCTTCGGAGTGGAAGACTGAACGAGCAGCCTTCTTCGACACCAAGACTGCGACTTCAACCCCAGTGTCAAGATCAGTATCTCCAGCGCCGAGTCCCATCAACGACCATAGCAGTGAGACGTTTGAGCTTGATATTGCTGATACAGAAGCCTTGGAAGCGGCCACAGCACCTCTGACGGGTCGGAGGCGGCCACAGTCTGACTTTAATCCTTCATTTACTGGAAGTGGTCTAGTTGAGAAGAGCAAGAGTTGGATTGATGAAGGTGTAGGGTTTGTAGATGGCGCTGTTAGTGCTCTTGCTGCGCAGATAGGGAGATGGACGGACGACGATGGCGGTGATGAGTCGCTATTGTTGCCTTACACAAGGCAGGGGAGAGAGAGGGGGGTGAGTGTCGCATAAGGGATGCGTCATGCAGTCAGTAGATGTAGAACGACGAGAATCTGGATGCGCAGTAAAGATGCTTGAACGTATGAACGATGCTTTGATGAAGATGGCGGGTTGAATTCAAGCCCTCGTGAACGCTTTGTCTCGGGGCAAATGGTATCATCCAAGCGAGCACCCTATCCTAAACGCCAGTAGCAATGCCCGATATTGTTGTGTCCTAAATATCTCAAATATCAAAGTCCTTCCGCAAAATCTCCTGTATCTCCAGGTCCATTCCCTTCTGAATCATATGCGCAGCTACAAGATTGCCGACCTTGCTGACCAATTGTTCCCGGAGGTCATCGAGATCTGGCGCGTTGTATGTTCCTTGCTGTTGCTCTCTCTGTTTCTTCTCTCTCATGCTCTTGGGTACCAGAGCTGGGAAGGAGCCCACAAGCACTGCAAGAAGAATCTCGGCGTCGTGCCTTGTACTTTCGTCGGCGAGCTTTTTAGAAAGGAAGTCATCGTTGTACATCTTAATGTTGGGTAAGATGAGCCCCCTTAGTGCGTCGCCGGCACCCAGGACCAAGAGGAGTGCTTGTAGTGCACCAAAGTGCGTCCCAACCGACTTGTCGGGGTCCATGAATTGCTTGAGACAGGTGCGCGCAATCCGTGACTTGAGTCCTTGATTCGACGACGCGTGCTTCCTACAGATATCTTTGAGTAGATGCGCTGCAAGAGTTCGCAGATAGAAGGCATCTTGGGTAGCGCGGTTGTGGTCGGGCATACCCCCGTTGAGTGTTTCCGAAGAAGCGTTGGATGGTGCTGGGTTTGCTGGTCCTACTTTGCCGCCAGTGCAGCATGTTAGGATGGGTGGTACCATATATGCGACGTACGGATCGAGGTAGATGGCCTGGTTCTTCAGCAAGGCCTCTGCAGCGCGCATCATCTGCGTCAATATGAATAGGTTTTTCATGTTGTGTGTGACCTTTTCGGCTATAAAGCTGAGCAGGTATGTTGTCAACTGGTGGATGCCAGGCTCTGTCGAGATGGCTGCGAGTGCTGCATTCTGCCACTCGATGTTGGTTTCGTCGATGAGGGCGCCTGAAAGCTTGTTGAACAGCTCTTGGGATTCTTTGGACAAGACGTGTTTGACCAGCGGCTTGACGTTGACGTTGTCCAGGCCATTGGCAGCAGCCAGATGTGGATTTGCGTTGGGGCCCTTGGGCAGGAGATCGCCTGTATTTGTGTTTGGGTTCTGAGGTATTGAAGGCTGAACACCTTCCACAGCGAGCCAGTGTGCGGTGAAGGTGATCTCTCGTGGGACCTTGGGCAGTGGGGCGTTGATGAGCTTCTCGAAATCGACTTCTTCATCCTCGACATAGTACAAAGGCTGGCCAGGGCCCAGCGAAGCCTCGCCGAAGCGCAGCGGACGGGTAGATTCGTAGCCGTAGAGAGGCTCCACATTGAGCACCTTCAAGGCATTGGATATGTCCTGTGTGCTCAGTGTCGTCCGCTTCCCGTGTCGCATGAACTTGAGAGCTTCCTCCAGCACTTGGGCCAAACGGAAGTCAACGTCGCGTGCCAGCTCTTCTACCACATTGTCGGCGAGTGAGGCGATGCCCACAGATTCGGCCACGTCTCGTACATTGTCGGGGTTCCAGACCGAAGACATGTTGGCGGGGCGCAGTGCGATGTGCGAGTTGTGAGCTGGAGCCGGTGGGGCTGTCGGACTGCGGGCGCGCTGAGTCTAATGAAGCGGAATGGGCGAAGAGGGCCGATGGGAGGGCGGCGAGGGTATCACCAGCCGGGTGACGCAGAGACGGCGGATGTGATTGCTAGCCCTACGACCCAGTGAAGCACATTCCGGACGCGCGCATGCGAAAGTGGTGGGCCGTGTCGCGGAGTTGCGGCGTCTGTCGCTTTTGGCTCTGGCGTATGTGTTGGATGGGCTGGTACAGGCAACAGCTGGTGAATTACACGGCCGAGGCAGGGCTGGATTGGCGCAGACAGAGTGAGTCTACAACAAAGGAAGTCGCGGTGCTCCAGGGCTCGCGTTGGGCTTGGCGCGCGCGCCATCGTGTCCGAGCGCGCCTGCCTGTCCTGTCGTCACCCTCAGCTTGACCTTCACACCGATAGACGACTCCTCCGAAGCTGCGTCTATCCACGTTGGCACCTCTTGATCAACACTCTGCAGTGAGGCCATGTTGACTGGCCAGCCGTTTGCTTCACTCGAGAGAGAATAGACAAACATTGCAGCCTCGTCACCTGCTGATCGTTTCCAAGTCCAAGCACGGGAAAGCACGCAGCTCTACGAACCAACAGAAGTTTGTGGTAGCTGAAATACGAGGCGTCTAGTCAAGCCTTGGGTCGAATGGAAGTACTCGCGTATCCATGCTGACATCATGGCTTGTAGACCGCCATTTCAAAACCCTACTTCTTGAGGGAAAGCAATCTCCCCCAGGCACCTTGCACGACAACTCGTGCGGCTCCGGATCGTCTTCCCCGACGCCTGATGAATTGCAAGCAGTACTCAACCCTGTCCTCCGTTGTCACACAATTAGTCGACTGTCGCTCGCCGTGCTCTCACCCGTCGACACGTTGTTTACCGCCGTTCAAAATGTCGTCTTCCACACTCAACTCCTGCCTTCTCCTGCTCGGCCAAGGCACTCATTCGCCGCTTGTACTCCCTGTCTACCAAACCAGCATCTCATTCCAGCATGACAATTTAGACTTAGTCCTTCCTGACGCCACCCGTCTATCCGCGGACGGGCCGCTGCGATTCTGATTGTCTTTTGCCTGGCTCTTTGGATCTGCCAACTAGACATTCGCCCCTGTAAGCCACTAGACGAGCCCTTGTGGTGTTCGATTGGGAGTGTAGCAAAACCTTGTCCTAGACTATTTAATGTCGAGACTGCGTTAGTGTTTTGTCCTCCACAAAAGTCCTCACTCTCTCAGCAAGATAGTTCCTAGACTACCATATTTGAATCCTCACTCTTCATTCCGCGATACTACTACTTTTCAACCATCTTCCAAAATCACCACACAGCTACCATGGGCATCACTATGGGTCCCTCGGTGGATAACGTCTTCGAGCTTGTCAATTCACGCTCATCCATGTCCACACCGACGCAAGATCGCTCAAGAGACGATCCGCCTTCTCCTCCACCTCAGCCCCCACCTAGTCCAGCGCACTGGAACCGTCTCGTCTCGGTAAGCTAGATTGTAAGACATGCCAGATATAGCTAACCACATGCCAAGCTCGAATTCCTTGCTCCACTAGAGATCTGAATTCTGGGGTAGTGGGGTAGTTCTGGTGAGTACATAACTCTACACGGAATTCGGCAGCGTCTAACCTCACTTGAACAGAAGCAAGACTTGCTTTTATCTGTACAGCACCCACCATGTTACATTGGATCGGCACGATCTCAGCTTGTCTTCTCCAAGTGTTCTGGTCTTGCATACCCATCTATGTGTTCAGTCGAGCATTTCTCTTCACATGCGATGGGCTTCGAAGCAAACAAGGTGCCGTAGCTTATTCGAATGTATGCCGGTCAGTCTATGCAGCGTCATGGAGGCGCTCGGATGCTCCTTGCAGGCTGCTGCATGTCTTGAAACAATATGCATGTATAGGCGCAAAACTCTCGACTTGTATGGCTATTGCAGATACAGTCCTCACGAGCCTGTTTCCTTCGAAGCAAAAGTCACGCTAGTTTTGATAAGTCTTTGTTTTTTCTGCACACAGCTGTGATGTACCACTTGCCGTTATGTTAGCAAGACACTGCAACGACTACAGCGCAGTGTGTTACAGTCGAGATACAATGGACTACACGCGTACATTCAGGCTCCACCCAGTCTACTGTCCAGACTTAGGTCCTGATAGCGACAACCGCGGGTTATTGACGCTGGTGCTACTTTCCGGCTCGCTTACCCCCCCATTAGCGCGCACTAGTCGCGTCAGGCTTTTCGGCTTTTCCAAATCCGCAGAATCCAGACCTCTGGCTCCACTCGACTCCAGTTGACAGTACGTACATCACATCCGACGTACGTGTTTACATTCAACAGTTTATCAATCTTACGTCTCTTTCACCGGTTGCGTCAGACACCAACCAAGGCAGAAGAAACATCGGTCATTCGAGCTAAACCGCAAAGCTCTTCTGGGACTTGGCACAGGATCGACAGTCCCACTATCCGCCACCAGCGGCTACCCACTTACAGGCACCTCCCACTATCTAGACGATTGAGGGGACAAACATTCTTTCATCACCCCTCTGACCACCGCCCATCCTTCACCCTCTTGCAGACCACCCAGCATGGCTGCCAACAACCAGGGTACTGAGGAGCAAATCCTCCAATGGTACTCAAATCTCTACAGCCGCCGGGTCGACCTGGTTGGCGACTTCGCAGGTAGTGAGCGGTTCCTCGTACACGGCGAATCACTCTTGCTTCAGTGCTTTAGCGACCCACACATCGATTTCGATCCTGGATATCAATTACTGCACGCGTCATACGCTGTTGAGAAGTTCCTACAAGGCCTCGTTTCTCGAGCCTGCAATTTCCACATTGCTTTCTTCGACGAACATCAAGATCTTTGCGTACCCCAGGATGCATCACCAGAAATCAGCGAAAAATACCTGCTTGCACGAGCAGCTATCATTCGTCATCTCAAGGTCAATTTACCAGACGTTGTCCCGGAGATTGAGATCAATGCCTTCCCATCAATATCCTCAGAAGCGTTTGCGGAGTACCTACGTGCCACAGACATTTACTTCGTCTTGTGTCATGATGGAGCCTCGTTCACTGATATCCGTAAGAGATTGATCCTACAAAAGGACCTCGACTCACTCCAGGGCGAAGACCGCGATAAGCAGCAGCGGCAGCAAGATTACAAGACTTCTTTCCGCACATTCATATATAGCATGATGCAGCGGGGGTACAGTGCTGCGCTGGTAAACGGATTGGAGTGGGCCGACACCAAGGTCATTACCACTGTTCTCGAGCATGCTCGTTCAATGACACTTGATGTCTCATCAGCTGTAAGTGGCCTGCAGCACTATCAATATCCTCCGGATGGTGCTACCTTTGCCATGCTTCTCTGCTGATCATCTCGTTTAGGAACCTCATACAAACAAAAGATTGACTGATGTCGTCGATCTATCGCATATGCGCGGCTTCTTGCAGACCATCAGGACGTCTTGCGATCAACTTCTGACTGAGCGCGAATACCTCACGGTATTAGTAGCTTCGAAGCTGGCAGCTTCGAATGCCGACCTCTCATCTGTGTTGTTGCAACATGCAGCATTACTTTCGGAGCTTCCTCTGTCTGATCGTATCATCAAGCATTGTGAAATTCCGGATGAGGTCAAGTCTTTCATCTTGGATTTCTGTAGCGAGGCACGCAAGTTCATTGGTAGTCCGGCATGGGCAGAGGCCTTCAAGGGCCATCCAGATTGCGATCTTGCAGATCTTATCGACGGACGGCTTCTCGCGTCATGTGCCCGCAACCCCACAACGGAACCTAGCGAACACCTACAGACCCTGCTCAAGGCCACAGCAGCTTTGGATGCCCATGATCTCCCGTCTCAGCCAAAAGCTTCTTCAGCAGCGAGTGAAGACCCTACTGCAGCCAACGGTAATGATGAGGAGGTTTCTGCGTACAAGGTTCTACCCTTCTCGAATAGCATTTTCGACCCACATTTGTCCCCAATCAAACTAGACGTATCGAAGTCAGGGGGTAAGGCAGATACCACTACTGCTAACATCTTCCGCGAGGTCACGCATTGGCATAACCAGAGGTCACTAAACCAAAAAGCAAAGGTTGTCGTCGAAAAAGACCCCAAGATAGCGAAGAAGGCTCTCCGGCGAAACCAGTTCTTCATGGCTGAGATGACGTCGTATGCCGCCAGCCTGACGAATGCTGTTGGCAAAGTACTAGATCCAGAGACTATTACGCTCGGCGACAAGTCAAAAGCAGGCCAGGCGAAATCCATGACGCCAACCCAGGCAGTCGAGAACAAGCGGCCGAAGCAAGTGTCAAGACAGAGCACCAAGAATATCAACGCATCGAAAGAGGCAATGCTTGCCAACATCGCCGCCAGCTCCAAGCGCAAAGACGAAGAGAATGCGAAACAATGGTATCAAGCCTGGACAGTTTCGTGCGCGGGCCTCGAGAAGCAAGTTGACTTGGCCTCAAGATACAACAAAGCCAGGCAATATCTGGCCGACCGCAATGAGGCTCAGCGTCAAGTAATTGGTCCAGATGTTCGCATGTACATGCTGAACGTTCTTTTGGAAATGTGGGTACGTTTCTGCCGCGACGGTGCCAAAGAGAAGGGCCTATACGTCGCCGCACTTTTGTTCGACACTGCACGAACTCTTTGCAATTACCCAACTGTGAGCAAGACGATTGCGAAGTGCCTCTCTATAACAGTGGAGCGCTTGAAGCTACCAACGCTACAAGTTCCAGCAGAACAAGGCGACCGAAAGCTGCCTTTCAAGTTTGTCTTGGACGAAACTGTCGTATCGGACTTAGCCTTGACCCTTTCCCCAGAGGAGTTCCAGCTTCTTCATTGCGGACCATACTTCGACCGTACAATCGATTCGGCACCAGACTCCCGTGTACCCTTCGAGCCAGATGCGTGGCAGCGACGTGTGCTAGATGAGATTGATGCACGTCGCAGTCTGCTTGTCATCGCGCCGACTTCAGCGGGTAAGACATTCATCTCGTTCTACGCCATGAAACAAGTCTTGGAAGCAAACAACGACGACGTTCTTGTATATGTTGCTCCCACCAAAGCTTTAGTCAACCAAATCGCCGCGGAGATCCAGGCACGATTCTCAAAGAACTACAAGTACAGTCAGTCTGTATGGGGTATTCATACTCGAGACTACAGGATTAACAACCCCACTGGATGTCAAATTCTTGTGACGGTTCCCCATATCTTGCAAATCATGTTGCTGGCTCCCAGTAACGCAAAAAGTTGGTCCGAGAGGGTCAAGTGGATCATCTTCGATGAAGTCCACTGCATTGGTCAGGCCGAAGACGGTCTAATCTGGGAGCAACTGCTCCTCATGGCTCCTTGCCCTATCATCGCCCTCTCTGCTACTATCGGCAATGCAGAATCTTTCAACGACTGGCTGTCAGCCACACAAAAAGCTGCTGGGAACGAATTGGTCATGGTGCAACATCCGCACAGGTATTCTGATCTTCGAAAGTTTGTGTATACCCCACCCGCCAAACGCAATGCAGCCAGCTACCTGCCGCTTCCAAGTAATCGTTCATTTGCGCAGCTTGGTTTAGACGAGCATACGGACTTCGCTTTCCTTCATCCTGTAGCTAGTCTGATCAATCGCACTCGCGGACTGCCCAGCGATCTGTCTCTCGAAGCACGAGACTGCCTTACCCTATGGCAGAGCATGACCAAATACCAGACAGCCGAATACCCGGTGGATAAGTCTCTGGATCCCTCCTCAATCCTGCCTACAGTTATCAAGAAGGCGGACATAATCAACTGGCAGGCTGGCCTCAAGAAGCTTCTAACTGCTTGGATGGCGGACGATAAGTCGCCTTTTGCTGAAGTCCGCAAGGATCTCAGCAAGTCATTGTCTGGCTTACAAGAGCATCAGACGAGTGAGGATGCCACAGACGACGGTGCAGACAACGAGGGGCAGCTGGATGAACTGGGCATGGAAATCAGTCACGATATCTCCAGCATACTTCCTCTACTCGCTGACCTACAACAGCAAGATGCACTTCCGGGTATTATCTTCAACTATGATCGTGCGATCTGCGAGAAAATGTGCCAAACGCTTATGAAGCAACTCGTAGATGCTGAGGTCGCCTGGAAGGAGACAAGCCCAAAATGGAAGATCAAGTTGCAACAGTGGGAGGACTGGAAAAAAGAGGTCGCGAGACGAGAGAAGCAAGGTCTTCGTGGAGACGCCTCCAAGGGCATGACCAAGCAGGATCAAATGAAAGAGGCTGCCAACGTTGAAGTTAGCGCCTTTGCCTCATTTGATCCAAACAAACCTCTCGATGGATTCCACTTCGCAGACCACAAGAAGCTGTCACAAGAAGAGTTCGCTGTACACGCAAAAGAGCTACGTTACCGCGGAGTTGAGGAATGGCTTATCGATGGTCTCATGCGTGGTATCGGCGTTCATCATGCTGGTATGAACCGAAAGTACAGGTATTGCGTCGAGATGTTGTTCCGAAAGGGATATCTGCGTGTGGTGATTGCGACCGGCACACTTGCGCTCGGTATCAACATGCCTTGTAAGACTGTGGTCTTTTCGGGAGACTCGGTCTTCTTGACAGCACTAAACTTCCGTCAGGCCGCTGGTCGTGCCGGTCGTCGAGGCTTCGACATGCTTGGAAATGTCGTTTTCCATGGAGTGTCTCTGAGCAAGATACATAAACTCATCAGCTCCAGGCTACCTGATCTCAACGGACACTTCCCCATCACGACAACTCTGGTACTGCGTTTGTTTACACTGCTGAACTCGTCTGAGAATGCGCCATTCGCCGTCCGCTGCGTCAATTCCTTGCTCTCACAGCCACGACTCTACCTTGGCGGAGAGGACGCGAAGATGACGGTCCTACATCATTTGCGCTTCTCGATCGAATATCTTCGGAGACAACATCTTTTGGATGCTCAGGGTGTACCTTTGAATTTCGCAGGTGCCGTGTCGCATCTCTACTTCACAGAAAATTCATCCTTTGCTTTCCACGCGCTGCTAAAGGACGGATACTTCCACGAGCTTTGCGCCAAAATCGACACGAACAAAGAGGCAGTTCTACGCGAACTCATGCTCACGATGTCGCACCTGTTCGGTCGGCGTCATTGTCGACAGGCTGATGAAGAGTACGTACGCGAGATAGTCAAGAAGAGCCCCTCGCTTGTGTTTCTACCTTCAATGCCAGAGCACGCTGCGAACGTATTGCGCCGTCACAACAAGACCACCCTCGATATCTTCACAGCTTACGTGCGCACTTTTGTCGACCAACATGTTCAAGAGCCGGACAACACTCTGCCATTGACAGATGTTACGGTTGGTGGCGATGCCTCCTCAAAATCTGAGAAGGCTCGGGACCAGAACGTGAAGGCTCGTTCTACATTCGTTGCTCTTTCAGGGTATGACGACAAGTTCGAGTCTATCCACGATCTGTGCAGTACTAGTCGTTCTGGTGTCTTCCTCGAAGAAGCTGTCGTACCCCACGTCGGTCTTTACCCTGAAGACTCTGATCTCCCGTTGAATGCTTATCTGTACGATTTCTTCCAGCACGGTGACGTCAACGCTCTTATCACGGCCAACAAGATTCGTCGTGGAGATGTATGGTTCGTCTTGAACGATCTGAGTATGACACTCGCTACTATCACTACGAGTTTGTCGAGCTTCTTGGGTCTGGCAACAGAGTCTGATCTCGACTTCATCGACGTCCGTGGTGGTGGTGACGATGAAGAAGAGAACAGGGAAGACAAGATGTTACCAAGCGACACCGCGACAGAGGCCAGCGCAGCCACGACTGCTTCGTCAAACAAGGGTCCCGTCAAGCAGGAGTTGACGATCCAGCCCAAGAAGAAGCTCAAGAAGAAGGTCGAAGAGTCGTGGGAGGATGAGATGGGTAGCTCCTCCAGCGAATCTGAAGTCGAAGAGAGTTGGGACGCTGAGGATGATGACGAGAAGAAGGAGCCGCCGGCTTGGGAAGAAGGCGAGGGCTTGTTGAACGTGCTAAAGGCGTTCAAAGCTCTAAAGGAAGACTTTGACACCAAGTTCAGAGCTATGTGGGCATAAGTTTACGAGATCATTGTATCGCTTTCATTCTGTCAATACTCCGAACATTAGCGTTCTTACTACAATAGACGTTGGGGTAGAAAGTCTACCAAAAATGTCATCTTGTCAGTACATCACGAAGCTCCATCTCATTGTTTCATTTCGTTGCATTTCATCGTGTTAACCGACAACCTCTCATGGCGGCCGAGGTGGCACAAACTTGACTATGTTCTTCAGCAAATTCGTCCCCGTCTCCTGACAACTCAAAACAAATGTCTCTATCCCTGGAATACGTTCCAGATCTTCTTGTGTCTGCGGTCTTGCTCTAATAATCATGTCTAGTGTGTGCTCCGTTACGATAGGTGGGGCGATAGCAGGTCTTGCAGGCAGCTTTCGCATGACAAGTTTGCTCAAGGCCAGGAGCTTTGAACGAGCGATCCGTGAGCCAGGAGATAGTGCTGTGCTTCGCGTTGAAGATGCCTCTGTGCTCGCAATGGCAAGGTCGTGGTTTAACGTCGGTTGCTGTGTTAGATCCACTTTCGGCTTTGAAGGTGTTTGCAACGGCTGAGGTGTCTGCTCCATCTCGCATTTTACTGGACTCTGGGCGCGTTTGCGTTTTGTACCGGAGCTTATGCGCCTTCGGCCCGGACTGCCAAAGTCAAGAGATGGAAGTGTATCATCCGAGTCGTAGGATGATGTGCTTTCATCGGATCTGTTGCCGTTGTCTACGTCAATTTTTGTTTCTGCCATTCCAAAAGATAGGCCAGTATTCAGTTGAGGTGATCTAGTAAGTGCAGTGTCGAAAGCTGGAGAGGAATCTGAAGAGCTATCACTGATATCTTTCCGTCGTGTCTTCGAGCGGTGAGGTGTTTGTGGCGGCTGGTTTTCAGACTTGGACGGTAACGGCTTTGCGACTTTGGCTGATGGCTCGATACCGTTTGTCGCTAGGAATAGTGAGATGACCTCAAGCCATTCATCGCCGAACTTTGCCTGTTGGATCTTTCCAATGCCCTTTATTGCAAGCAAGCCTTCGGTATCGCAAGGCTGTGCACGCGCAATTGATTCCAGTAAAGTATCAGGGATGATGCGGTGTGGCTGCAACTTTCTAGTTTCGGCTAGGGACGCCCGACGAATAGCTAATTCTTCGTATAATGCTTGAGTAAGATCATTCAGAGGCTGTGCACTGCTTTTTGTAGTCTTTGTCTTCTTCGGTGCTTTAGAGCTGGTCCCTGATACACCGCTCTTTGCAGGTTTGACGCTGAAGAAAGCTTCTGTTGTGATAGTTGTACCGTCTCCGACATCCAAAATTATTGGGTCGTCTCTCGATGCCTTGCCACTCGGATATTTCTCCGCGTGGATCGGTAATGGCGGCGTGGGTTTCATGGCAAGCCTCTTTGCATTCATACACTTGTAGAGCATGAAGCCTGCGTATGCATCGCCAGCTGCATAGTTGATCTGATCCGTTGACAGTGGTTTGCTCCAATTACTCGTGCGCACATCGCCCTTGTACAGGGGCAGACCGAGCTGCTCTTCAACTTGGTGCGCTAAGCTCACGAGCTTGACAGATACCAACTCTGGTTTCCTAGGGCCAAACTTCACAAGACGGTATAGATGGCTCGATTCGACGGCACCTTTTGGTTTGAGCCCAAAGAAACGGCTCAACCTCGAGAAGTCCGCCTTCAACACATTTACCTAAAGGTACGTGTATGAAGTCAGTGTATGTCTCATATGCAGTTCGTACACGGATGTTTCTTACACCAACTTTGCCAATCTTAGGGTCCTCGAGAATGCGTTTCAGTGTCGGCGCGATAATCTCTTCACTCGTCTTCCCTGGATGCAAGCCAATATGAAATAGCGCGATTTTGTCCTCGGACGCAATTTGAATCAATCCAATCTTGTTTTGCAAATTATCCTTTTTCCAATCATTCCATGGCCACTCCATATCAAATCCGATGACTGGCTCATCAAGGAATTGCTTCGCGTATGTTTCGGATTGCGCTTTGGTTTTGCTATACAGGATCTCGACTTCTTTGCCTCCAGGGCCTCGGTAGAGACGATGACTCCACCATGGTTTGGGTGCAGCTTGAGTAGACGAGAAGCCATAAGACTGAAGTGACGAGGCTTTGGGCTGTTGTGGTTGTATGCGGTACGAGAGTGGCCAATGCACCTTTGGTGTTTCGATGGTGACCTCTGAAGGTGCAACATCATGGGTGGAGCTTGCCATTAAAGATATGCAGTTCCAATAAAGATACCGTCTAGACCTAATCATCGACAAGCAATGGTTGAAGGCATATGAGATGGTTAATCGCGCGGCATCCATGCAATGTGGCGATTGACGCTAATGAGCTGGAGCACAGACTGTCTTTTACGCGTGTTCACGTGTGACGTTTCTAGCGTGTTTTGCAAGCCCCCTACTGCTTCTGCTACATGAGGCTGCTTCTTCTCCACTCATCAATGCTACGTCACATCCTATCTGGGATCGCCGTTGTGATCCACTGAATCTGAGAAGGTTCCCAGACACGTCTACGTCCGTCTCTTCGCTCCATTCTCGGAGGTTGACACCTTGGCGAAACGTTGACAGCTCTGCAGAAGAATCTCACTGCGTCACCATCACCGGTACTCTGTCCGTGACTCGACGCGCGATCTAAGGCTACAGATTGCTCTCACTACGTGCACCCTTGATCCTGATTCGATATAATCCTGGACGGTACTCGCACAAGGCGCTATTCGGACGCGCTTTGGAGAGCCGACGACAATCGACGAAGAGAGGTCATGGCACACGATTGACATATACTGATCAGACTGAGGGCGTTCTTGCCGCTACTCTCGTTGCCTTCAGGCGTAATTCCCAATAAATTTTTTTTAGGTGGTAAACCAAAACTTACAATCCTGGTTTCGCTTTAGGCATTGTGGACATGGTTGTTGCCAAGCTGTGACAGCTGAGCTCTCACGCAGTACCCGTTTCATACACATGCGGAACACCCTACGTAAGCACGATATCTACAATCAGCGCTAAGCGGACTGCGACAGACTATGCTACGGCTTCAGGAACTATGCCTGGGAGACGCGTACTTCAATGAACACGGTATATGTAGGCTGATAGCCTCACTTCGGGCCGCCTCTATAATCCACTGTTATCCCCATTTTACATTCATACCTCTGCAAATCCTCGTTTGTAAACAATAATCACCCGTCATGTATTTCTCCACATCAGTACTCGTAGCCGGATTGGTCAGTCTTGCGCAGGCGCAGGTCCCATCTGGCTTTACGCCACAGGCCGCCACCAAACTCGAAGTCATTTTCAACTCGACTATGGTCAACACGGCAGGACAGCAATTGGCAAAAGCTTGTGAGTTTCGAGCTGAGTCCATTAATCAAGACATCATTCCTGACCTGTTTAGCTGTCGCAACACAACCACAACTTGCATTATCCAGCGCTATGATCGACTCAAGCCAAACATACATGTTTGTGATGCTCGACCTTGATGTCCCACCAGCGAACGGGAGCACCGAGCGACGTGTGTTATTACACTGCATGAACACCGGATTCAAGGCAACAAAGCAACAACTTATGGGCGCTGCCACTCTGCTCGCGTCATCAGAAAAGGGCCCAGCAGCGTATATTCCTCCAGGTCCTCCAGCGACCGATACAGTCGCGCATCGATACGTACAGCTGCTTTTCCAGCAACCCGCCAGTCTCAACATTCAGGCGTCGGCATTCGCTGGAGCACAAGCTCGGATAGGTTTCGATATCGAATCGTTTATGTCGAAGAATGGCGTGAGCGCGCCAGTCGCAGGAAACTTCTTTCGTGTAGACGGAAGGATAGCTGCAACCGCCAGTGGAACTGCTGGTGCTGCGGGCGCGTCAGGCACTGGTGCCATGCCAACCGGTACACCACAGCCTTTCACTGGTGCAGCTGGCGAAGTCAGTGTACCATACGGGACGGCTGGTCTGCTTAGCGGAATAGCTCTTTTCGCGCTGCTAGTGCTATAGAAGCCCATCCTGTAAATTTAATGAATGTTACGACTTGATGAACCAGATTTCAATGACAAGATCACGTGTATTCATGAGGTGACGGTACCAAGCATACGGCTACACTTCAGCACCTTTGTTATCGCTGAAATACGCGAAACCTAGAGCCCAACGAGATTCAATGCCGGCGACTGCAGCGAAAGTGACTATACTATTGGGCTTTGTATACGATACATGAAGCGCGTTTGCGAAGATCTGACTCTAACTCACCGCCTTATCGGCGTTCACAATATTGTAGTACTTGTTACTACTTCTGATGCGCAAACGCTTACCGTACTTGACCATGACAAGAAAGACAGCGGACGCAGCCATGCCAACGAAAGCTGCAGAGATACTGAAAATAGGTTTATGGAGTCAGTGTATGTCTTACATGCAGTTTATAGAAAGACACTTACAAGCAGTTCTGATACCCGAGGTTTGTCAGCCATGGAGTAATACTGTCTCTCGTTAGCTTCGAACCTTCAGATGCACTGGAGAACTTGCCCGTAACTTATGGCGAAGGACATGGTGTTGCGAATCAAGATGACCGTCACAATCGCATCGCCACTAATATCGTGATAACTATCGATCATGTAGTTCACACTGATTGTGACGCCGACAGAAGAGGTGAACGCTACACATCCCATGGCAAAGACGAGTCCGAACCAGTGTACGCCATGCGCAGCGCCAACACCCCAGAGTATCAAGAATGCCGGAACCATTACTAGGCACACTGCGAAAGGCCATAGACGGTGCTCCGCTTCCATGACACCATTGTTCCTACGCGCTAATTTGATCGTTAGCCAGTCGCTGAAGCGCCCAGAGAACAGCGCCCCAGCAATGACCCCGATACAACAAGACACATAACTTAGACCGACCATGGAGGGCTTGAAGTTGTATCCTGGCCCACCAAGAATGATGGAAGCAGTAGCGTTCAAGACGTTAAACCAAATGAGGTATGAACCGTAACTGAAACCTGAGTAGAAGATAACAGGCCAGCTAATGTATATCAGACTACGCTTCGCACGCTCGAAGACGTTCGCTCCTGGAGATGTCTGCCATAGAGATAGCTTTTGAGCAAAAGTCTTGGATGACACTCGCATGTCATCGCTCATAGTGGACGGCGACGTCGTTATGTCGGCTTTCTCCTGGTCCAAAACCTTGGATGGTTCCGTCTCTGGAGAGTCTCTAGCGACAAGTATCCCCTCGATCTTGCGCGTATAGTTTGTCTCTTCCATGCAAAAAAACAAGAGGACTAACGTCACGGCGAGGAAGATTGCCGGCCAATAGAACACCCATTGCCAGCCTTGACCTTCTGCGATGAAGCCGGAGATGATAGGGGCAAAGTAGTTGCTTCCCGCTAGGGAGAAAGCGTAGAAGCCCATGTATTTTCCTCGCTGGTGGGTGAAGTATACGTCGGTTACTGAGATTTCGGGAAGAGCTTCTACTGGTGCGACAAAGAATCCCATAACGATGCATCTGGCTATCCATTCGCCATTGCTTTTGACATACGCACTATGGGGGTCAGCTTATGAATAAGTTCTTGCACAGACATGAGATATACCTCCAAATACTACATCCAATGGCTCCAACAACTGATATCAGGAACGTAAGACGTTTCCCATATCTCAGCGCAAAAGGTTGCCAAAAGAGCAGTCCCCAACCAAGAAAGAGGAACATGTATCCAGTCCCTTCGTTCAAAGTTGATACGGAAACGCCTGATGCTTCAGATAATGGTACTAACACCGAGTATACAGTAGACACCGCGATGCCTGTCATCCACGTATACCTTCGCATCGAATCAGCCGTATCCTCGATAAGTGGCAGTGAACACTTACAAATTGGTACATAATGAAGATGTGAGCTTGCGGCGTGGAGACCAGTTGAGCGGATCATCAGGGTCACTCGAGGGCGCTGGATCGAGGATGATGTCTCCGTTGCCAGCATGACGAGCGTGTATACTATGGTCTAAATCGACCAAATGTACAGTACCTGGCACAGAAGCCATTTCGGTCGAATCTGCCACAATTGTCATCGCGGTGGCTACGCACTGGGTTTCGGCGATGGATAAGAATGTGTCACGAATGATAAAGTCTCAAAAAACGGTTGTCTCAAAAGCGTAGTACAAGAGTGGGGTGGCATGCATATAGACCCAGGAGCGGTAGGCTTACCAGGTACCCTGCGTCACTCCAACTTGGAGCTCGTTCTATAAAGCCCACGTCTTCCTTATCATCATCCTTCCCGTCTGCAGCTCATTCTGTTCAAGATGTTCGATAGTGAACCATGGAGATGGCCACTCAAGAGTCCCGCTCAGAGCTGCCCATCTCCGTGTCTACGTAGATGCCCATCGGCTTCCGCAATACAGCAAGTCCACGCGAACGGACCAGGAGCCGTGACACCAAATCCAACGCGGGGAAACGTTCGCTTGATAGGCAGTGGAGTCGGTGCGCTCATTGGGAGATAACCGGATAATTGGAGTCGTTGGAGCTGGATGCAGTAAAGGGTCGTCCGCTAGCTGCAGCAGGACCATGTGGGATGACGCGCTAAGGGCCGCTGGTCGGATTGGTTCCGCACTTCCAACACCAACCACCCCCTTATCAGCTTTATCACACTACGATTGCTGCTGTCCATTGTCGTTCCGGAATCTTTCCGAGGACGGAGTCAACGGGATGCTATGTGGAGTTATAAGAAAGAACGTTTCTGTCTTAGGCTTGGCCCCAATAATGACGACAACGGCGCATGTGCAGATAAGACCGCTGTGATGGTTCCCAAAACTGACGACATTGGATCACATCTGCGTTTGATATCCCTATCATTCTCCCAACATCATAATGGCAATTCATCCCTCCGAACTAGCTATAGTTCAGCCTAAGGCTGTTCCCCAAGGTACACCAGATTACGAAAAGAAACGAGCATCAATCCTCGAAGCCTTTGCGGCAAAAGTGCCTCCTGAACTACGCCTATCTCCAAAAATTACTGCCGATCCACCAAAGGATGTGTCTGAAATACCAATCACCTGCGGCATACTTACACCCGCCGAGATCAATATCACCGAAAAGTACGATGCAGTAGGCCTTGCTGAAGCCATCACCGCACGCAAGTTGTCAGCAGTCGAAGTAGCCACCGCATTTTCAAAACGTGCTATTATCGCACACCAATTGACATGCTGCTTGACTCAATGGTTCATGGATGATGCGATCAAGAGGGCACAAGAGCTGGACAAATACCTAGAAAAGAACGGAAAGACGATCGGCCCACTTCATGGAGTTCCTATCAGCATCAAGGAACATATGCCCATTGCTGGAACCTACTCATCCCAAGGCTCCTTGGCGAGTACCGTCTTCGACGAGAAAGATTGCCTGTTGGTGTTAATGCTAAGGAGTATGGGCGCGGTATTCTACTGCAAGACCAACCAGCCTCAAACAATCATGCATCTGGAAACGACATCTCATTACGGTCGATCGCTGTGCCCTTTCAACATTGATCTCAGCGCAGGCGGCTCATCTGGTGGCGAGGCTGCACTTGTTGCAATGAAAGGCTCAGTTCTTGGTGTAGGCACGGACATTGGCGGCAGTATTAGAGGCCCTGCCGCTTTCTGCGGCATCTATGGTTACAAGTCGACATCTTACATGTTGCCGATGAAAGACTTCCTCGGACATGCATTTTCTGCAGAACTCAATATTTTGTGTAGGCAAGTACGCCTGTACGAATTGCACGTAAAACATACACTGACTCCATTTACCTACATATAGCACTGGTCCATTTTGCCGGAGTTTGCGAGACATGGACCTTTTCATGGCGACTGTTTTGGGTCAGAAACCGTACTTGATGGATCCCAAGGTAGTGCCACTTCCTTGGACGGGGCTAACGACTAAGACGAGGAAACCATTGAGAATCGGTGTCATCGAGAACGACGGCTTCGTTGATCCTCAGCCACCAGTAAAGCGCGCTATAACATGGGCTCGTGAGCGTCTCTCCGACCCTCAACATTCGGATATTGTCCAAGTGAAGCCATTCAAGCCCTATAAGGCACAAGAGGCATGGAGACAGATCCGACGTATGTACTGGCCAGGTGGCGGCAAACTAGCGAAAGAGGATATCATGTCAACAGGCGAGCCAGTCCTACCACTGAGCGACTGGATTTGGAAAGACGCCGAACCTCACGGTATGCTGCATGCGGAAGAGGTCAACGAGCTACGTGCCGCTCGCGACAAGTTCCGTTATGAGTTTGCCGACAGCTGGAACGAGCAAGAAGTCGACATCGTCATCGGCCCTGCGTTTGTTGGGCCTGCCTCTGCGCATGACACAGCGTTCTACTGGACATATACAAGCTTGTACAACTTTGTCGATTACCCCGGGGTTGTTGTACCCACGCCAATCAAAGCTAAGAACAATGAGAATTATGCCGCGGACTACAAACCATTAAGCGATGAGTGCAGGCATACCAGAGAGCTGTGGGAGAGATCGGATTTTGAGGGGGCGCCAATCAATCTCCAGGTCAACGCCAGAAGGTACCACGACAACGACTTGTTTGGAGCACTAGCGGTCTTGAAGGATATCTTAGATCTTCCTTAATATGCGAAGCATGGCCCTGTTTTCTAATCATATCGCACTTCTGTATAATATACGCGTATATACGCTTTGTACCCAGTCTTATTGCTGCTGCCGTGAGAAGCTGCCATGCTGTATAGTGCACAGTTTTGAATCACGATCGACGCTAGTTCGTGGTAATGCAAGTCTCTGGAGTGCTTCGACAAGCAGGTCTGTTAGATATTGGTAGAGATGCAGGATGAGATGCAAGGGTTGGCGATGGTGAGTGAGGAATGCTGTACAGGAACAGCCGAGGTGGCCGGAAACAGACATAATAGTGCAGGGATGTCGCGTTGGAAGAAGCATGACGGAATGAGCCGTTGCTCCCACATCAATCATCAACACTGGTGAGCGCATTGCCCACCTTTCAACATAAACGAATCGCTTCGCTACGCGATGTCGCCCCCATAACGCGTATCTGCGCTCTCACCGCACACCATGGATCAAGCCCGTATTTCGGAGCTCAGTCCAGAGCTGCCCGCGATCGAATCGAAGCATTTCCGAGCGACAGCAACGTTAATATGGCCGTATTCGTCATCAGCGCGACAGTTTGCCTTGTTGCTTGCTGAGCCCGATGTCCGATTACGACGCAAGAATGGACAGGTCAGAGCGCGCTTCTCCGGAGCCAGCGCAAAGGCTGTTGCGACAACAGGTGTGGGGATTGGAGATGAGGTGGTGCTGAGCCTACGAGGCGCTGAGTTCGTCAAGGAAGGCGCCGTTAGCACCCCAGGCAGGAGCATCGAATGGGAGCTATCATACGTACACACAGTCACGATGCGCGTCTACCGCAACGGAGTCGAAACTGCAAGCCTCGACCTCGTCCATGTCGCGCCTTCGCCTGTCTCCGCATCGCCTGCTCGCCGGCCGTCTACAGCCAGTCCAGCGTCTGCGCTTCAATTCTCCTCTCCTGCCTTTCTCAAGCGGGCGCGATTATCTGACGGTCCGTCCTTTCAAGCGCCTTATGATCCTCTGGCGGATAAGACGGAAGAGGGCCATGACAAGAAGCGACGTAGGAAATCGTACCGGGATTGGAAGGCCTGGACATACAGCACAAGGACACCGTCGCCAGAGAAGGAAGAGGTGACTATGGAGGATGAGCTCGAGTCGGCTGAAGCGTCACCCAGTCGGACAGGGCGGCTTCCTCGCACTCCTGTCTCGCCTCAACAACCAGAGATGCTGTCAGTTGCAGCCGGGCCCTTGCAGGCACACCAAGGCGAACCAACTGAGCCTGATACCCCAACGGACACCGACAACTACGACCTCTACGCTGCGCCCAACGAGCATTCAGCATCGGATGCACAATATGCTTTTGGAGGCGACACTGAGATTGACACCGAAGTCAATACCGAAGAAGAAGGCGCTACGCATGGTGAGCTCAATGGACACGATACGAGCGCCACAGAAGCAGATACCGACGAGCAAAAGCATGTACAACTGGAGCGCGTCGAAGAAAACGTGGTCGAGATCGGGGCGATTGCAAGTGCACACAGTCATGTCAAGAATGAGCTTGCGATAGCGATGCCTCCCCCCACATCATCCACCTTTCCAGCTGTCACTGCAGGCTTGTTGACCCCTATCGGCCGAGAGCCTGCAAGCCCAAAGCTTGTACCACAAGACGCTTCCAACCTCCCCATGCCATCACCGTTCCCAGGAGACCAGGATGCAACTGCCAGTTCCTATTTCAGCCATACTACTACTGGTGAGCAGCCGCTGGGTGATGATGCTGTGGTCGAGGATGAGCAAGATCTACCGAGCGAAGCAAGCTACATCGGTGAGACGTCCTTCTTCAGCTCAATAGGCTCATCGAGAGCTTCAGTGTTCCATCCAAACCATGAGTCAGCCTTCACACCTGTGCGGTTCACATTTGGTATGGACGGTG